CAGACCACCCCGACAACACTTCCCATGCCGGTTCTTGCATCCTTATCCATAAATTCTTATCCCATTCTCTCATTCCTTCTACTCCAACTGAGGCTATTTTAAGCAACATCAGTAATCATTTTAAAACCTCCTTTTCATTTAACACTCTCAGCTGTATACTGTCCTCCTGGTCATACTGTTACCTTCAACTTACTTGAATCCTTGAAACTTGGATCGCGCTTTATTGCTGGGGGAGACTACATTGCTAAATACCAACGATGGGGTTGTCGAGCATCCAACTCCCGTGGTAACATACTATCTTCTGTCTCAACTTTCAATAGTTACTCTGTCCTCTCTCATATGAATCCTACCTCTTAGCCAACCTCCCTAATAAAACACCCTGATATCCTGGACATATTTGTCACCTCCCAGATTTCCTCTTCCCATGTCACAATCAAATCCCTGGATGACCTTTCCTCAGATCATTCTCCAATTCTGCTTTCATTACACATAACCTTCGCTCCTAAGCTCTCGTCCCCTCCTACACTGATTACGGGATGAGTAAACTGGGACGAATTTCGTAAAGAACTGGAAAATAAATTGGACCTAAATATTCCACTTAAGACAAAACATGACATTGACACAGCCATAGAAGTACTCATTACATCTATAAGTGACAAAATAAACGATAATACATCTACCAATAAAATTAACAACTCCGAACAGACAAATTTGCCACAGCATATTCGTATCTTAATAAGGGAAAAAGAACAGAACAAGATCACAAGGCACAGGTCTAGATGCACATCAGATAAGACATATTACAACAACTTAACTAACCGACTAAAAGCTGAAATTAGAAAATACAAAGTTCGAAATTTACTTAAGATGACAGAAAAACTTACTACAACTGATATAGCATTTCCAAGTCAATTTCAACCTTTTCCAAGTCAAATTCAACCTTTTCCAAATCAAATTAAACTTTTTCCAAGTCAAATTCAACCTTTTCCATTTCAAATTAAACCTTTACCATTTCAAATTCAACCTTTTTTTATTTATTTAATTATCTTTAATTTTTCGATGTGTGGGTCTGTTATCGTATGAGTAGTTTTTGAAAATAACCTCCATTTTAAGATTACGTGACTGCGTTTCGAATTATTTAAGTTTTTTTTATTTATTCGATATAAGGGTGTATTTTTATGTTTCCCGATCCGTTAAATTTTGAAAATGACATCCATTTTATATTTACGCAACTGTGTTTTGACTTATTTAAGTTTTTAGAATTTATCTAATATAAAGGTCTACTTTTATGTTTCCGGAGCCGTAGATTTTGAAAACGACCTCCATTTTAAGATTAGGCCACCGCGTTTCGACTTATTTGAGTTTTTCGGATTTTTTTCATATGAGGATGTATTCTTATGTTTCCGGAGCCGTAGATTTTGAAAACGCCCTCCATTTTATGATTAGGCCACCGCGTTTCGATTTCTTTAAGTTTTGAATTTTTTTCATAAAAGGGTGTATTCTTATGTTTCCGGAGCCGTAGATTTTGAAAACGACCTCCATTTTAAGATTAGGCCACTGCGTTTTAAAAACTAAGGCTCCGGCATCATAAAAGTAGACCTTTAAATTGGATAAATTCGAAAAACTTGAATAAGTCGAAACGTGGTGTAATTTTAAAATGGAGGTCGTTTTCAAAATCTACGACTCCGGAAACATAAGAATGCACTCTTTTATGATAAAAATTTGAAACATTTAAAGAAATCGAAACGCAGTGGTCTAATCTTAAATTGGAGGTCGTTTTCAAAATCTACGGCTCCGGAAACATAAGAATACAGCCTCATATGAAAAAAATCCGAATAACTCAAATAAATCGAAACGCGGTGGCCTAATCTTAAAATGAAGGTCGTATTCAAAATCCACGGGTCCGGAAACATAAGAAAACAACCTCATAAGAAAAAAATCCGAAAAACTAAAAGAAATCGAAACGCGGTGGCCTAATCTTAAAATGGAGGTCATTTTCAAAATCTACGGCTCCGGAAACTTAAGAATACACCCTTTTATGAAAAAAATCTGAAAAACTAAAAGAAATCGAAACGCGGTGGCCTAATCTTAAAATGGAGGTCATTTTCAAAATCTACGGCTCCGGAAACATAAGAATACATCCTCATATGAAAAAAATCCGAAAAACTTAAAATGGAGGTTATTTTAAAAACTAGGGACAGGACAGCATAATACTACTCCCTAATAAATCCGAATAGGTACAATAAATCGATATCCGTAAGTGAAAATTCTACTTAGGAGAGCATAATAATAGACTTTCATATTGGATGGAGGGGGAGGGGAAGGCCATTATTTAAAAAAAAATATATAAAATTTACAAAAAATTAAAACATTAATTTGAAATGAAAACGGTTGAATTTGAATTGGAAAAGGTTTAATTTGAAATGGAAATGGTTGAATTTGACTTGAAAAAAGTTTAATTTGATGTGGAAAAGGTTGAATTTGACTTTGAAATAATTGAATATGACATAGAAATATTACACTGAAAAAATCTAAAATGTTAAAATAAATGGATATGCAACCGCGTTATCAATTTTTTTTTTTTTTTGTATTTTTCGAAAGCAATGCCTTCGATAATATAGTAAGTGGCCTTCATTTTGAATAAAATCGAAAATTGACAAAAATTCGAAAGTTGAATTTGAAATGGAAAAGGTTGAATTTGACTTGGAAAAGGTTTAATTTGAAATGGAAAAGGTTTAATTTGACTTGGAAAAGGTTGAATTTGATTTGGAAAAGGTTGAAATTGACTTGGAAATGCTATAAATCACTATCATTGACCACTAAAAAGCTTCTTAAATTCAAAGATTTTAACCACCCACTTATTACTGAAACCCAAACCTGGTCCAGATCTGAAGAAGAAAAATCTCAAATATTTGCTCAGCACCTCTTCAAAAGATTTAATCCACACCCAGATATCCTTAATCCAACGTACCTTGAGTTTATTGAAGCAGAATTGGATATCCCAATCCAATTGTCTGCTCCAACTAAAGCATTCATAGATTACCTTCCCGCAAAGCTCCTGGCCATGACCTAATCTCATCCCAGATCTTAAAACTGCTTCCTAAATAAACCATACTATTCCTCACCTATATATATATATATATATATATATATATATATATAATGCTGTACTCTGAACCACATATTTTCCTGACTCTTGGAAACTATCCATTGTCAAAATGATACCTAAACTCATAAAGCTGCCAGAACGCCTATCCTCTTACCGTCTTATCTATCTTTTACCCATTATGAGCAAAATCCTGGAAAAACTCATCTTACAACGTCTGTATCCCATCCTAGACTCTAAACACATTATCTCTAAATACATTTCAGATCACCAATTTGGATTCTGCACATCCCACTCCAATATTCAGCAATGACATCGTGTAGCAGATGTAGTATCCTCTGCATTGGAGCGACGAATGTACTGCACGGGAGTCTTTCTTGACGTTGAACAGGTGATTGATAGAGCCTGGCATGCGGGACTGATGTACAAACTCCGTAATTTTTACCACCTACATACTTAATCATTATCCATTCCTACCTTACTGACAGATACTTCAAAGTAAATCATAACAATGATTATTCATCTCTTTTTTCTCAGTTTGCTGGTATTCCTCAAGGTAGAATCCTATCGCCTATCCTTTACACAGTTTATACAGCTGACATCCCAATTCATTCAAACACTGTCATCACCACCTATGCCGATGACACTTGTATCCCATCAGTTAATAACGAACCATCTATTGCATCCCAAACTTTTCAATCACACATTACAAGTCTTGAAAAATGGTGCCAAAACTGGAGGATTTGGGGTTCTACTAAACCATCAAATTCATCTCGTATCCAATCCCTAAAATTCAAAATCCTTCGTAAAATCTTCAATGCTCCCTGCTTTGTCACAAATAAAATCATCCATAATGACCTTAATGTACTATATGTTTGGGGTTCTACTAAACCATCAAATTCATCTCGTATCCAATCCCTAAAATCCAAAATCCTTCGTAAAATCTTCAATGCTCCCTGCTATGTCACAAATAAAATCATCCATAATGACCTTAATGTACTATATGTTTCCGATTTAGCTCAATCCAAGATACCTATCCTTCCATAATAAACTTCATAACCATCCCAACCCTCTTGTTTCCAACCTTGCTTCCTCTTCTATTCCTGATAACCCTCCGAGGCGTCTGAAAAGAAGATGGCCTCGGGACCTACTAATATAGAAATATAATTGGAGTGATACCAATGGGTATTTTCTCTTCATGTTGTACGTGTCATGATATTTGTTTCATATTTACTTGTTGTATTTATCATTTAATACAGTTGTAAGTTTTAATTATAAAAAAAAAAAAAAATTGCTTATAATAGTACTATAATCATAAAAAATAATCGAGTTTCAGTTTCAAAACTATATAGTTATTATTTCTAATGGACGATTTTTGATCCTCATAACACTAATACTAATACTAATCAATTTAGGGTGGTTAATTTTGTGGTAATGTACAATAAATAAATTGTAAGTTTTAATCAAAAAGATGTTTTGTTTTGTGAATCTTATCTCAGATCATAGAACTATTCTCACAGTTATTCAGACAACTAAGATCTACATATACATATTCAGTAATGGAAATAACATTAAGCTGAATGAAAAAGTGTATTTATGAGGAAAAAATTGCTAGAAAATTTATCAAGAGCATTTTACAGCTAATTCTATTTAATTTGAAATTTCAGTGATCCTGGCAGGGTCAGGTTAAAAAATTAAACAATTATCATCAAAATTACCTTGGTTTCGCCAAATTCTAAATTACAACACAAAAAACGAGAAATTTTCTTTTATCATATTAGTTGAAACTAAAATGTTGTTACTCATGTGATGTTATGTCATATTTTGGCTACAAGATAATCTAATTTTTTTTAAATAATCAATCTAAGAAAATGATATATAAAAATAAAAATACCATCTGAATCATGAACGATTTGAAAATTTTTCACAGATGCTTGAGTTACTCTTCCATGAAAATTTAGAACATAAGATTGCGTATCATCATTCCAAGAAGGAGTTTTATTGTGCAGCTGGATTAGGTTATCCATGGTTTTGGTTCGATAACATTCTAAAAATGTAAATATTATAAAAAATAACATACTAAACTAACTTAATAATAACATATTATTAATTAAAAAATCTGGGACAATAGGCATATTAATTATAATTTTATTTAAGCATAATTTCACAATCATTAACATACTTTCTATTATCTCCTAAATTATAAATGCACACACAGTAGAGTCCAGGTATTTGATTAGAGACAATTAGTTAAAGTAGCTTATTTTTTCTAATATCCTTATGCACACTAAGTATGAAAGAAAGGGAGGGTAAATTATAGAATAACATCCTAACATACAGTAATCATTTTACATCTGCAGGTATAATATGTGAAACAAAAGTCCATTGAAAAACATTAAATTTTTGTTTGTTTGTTGTTAACAGAAAATGGCATTTTTTGTAAGTCAGAACATAACTCAGTTAACAATAAATATAAAAACATTAGTGATGTTTATAGAAGTAGAAACATGAAAATGTTTTAAGAACAATTTGACCAGCTTATAGATTGTTTATAACCATTATTCATGGTAGAGCTGCATCTAAATAACGGGACGACCACATGTGCTGAACTTCAAAAGGTACACAGATAACAAGTTAATTTTTACAATCTACAAGCAAAAATTAATTTGAATTTACAAATGTATACATTTATAAGTAAATTATATATAGATCCATAATTTACATATTATATAATAAATTTACATAAAATAATGCAAAATATGCATACTGTAATTAAAAACATATGTTTTTGTATTTGTAGACCGTAATAAAATTTAATCCATTTATTTATACCAGAAGATAGACTAACCATAATCGTGATTTTCATAGAATATAACCCTTACAAATGTTGAGATTACTGTTTTCTACCCACAGTGAGGTCATGAATAATAAATTGGGTCCACAATCAAATAAAAGTCAACCCTTATATGCGGGAACTGCTTCTGGCTTAAGAATATTAAGGTACTATCCCAACAACTTCGACCACCACAACCTAGATATAAAATTTAAACAATATAATATTGGCTTAACAAGAAAGAGCTACATTCTAAGCTACTCATAGATTGTCCAAGTGAAAGAAGAAACAAAATATTTATCAAATTAGACAGAGCTTCTAGGAGGAAAAAACTTACATTCTTTACAAGTCACCATAAACTAAACAATCATATGTTTAAATTCAATTTGAGAGAATTACCCTTTTGTCGATTCTGTCAAATATGATGAAACAGCTCATCATATTATATTATCGAGGTAGGTATAATTAGAGGGATCAGAAGGCCTCAACAGAGTGTGTTCAAGTTAGGGTAAAATGACTAAGTGGGTGAAAGAAAAGGCTAAGACAGCAAGGCCTCAAGTGTCAGGTGGATGAGCACCCAAATCACTGTTGGTCTGTGGGCTATGGGAAGAACCTAATGACACCGCAGGACAGAAACCACAAACGGAGGGACGAATCTTCAGACTTTGTGGGAGGATGAAATTATTAATGGAGGTACGAGCCTCCAGACTTGGTATGTAGGAGTACAAGCGGATGGATGAGCATCCAGACTTTGTATGGAGAGAGAAAAGGTTAAAAGAGCATAGTGAAATAAAATGCAGTTTGATGTAGAACTAAAATTTTCTATAAAATACACTGATCAAACTACAGTCTGATATTCTGAAGGATGTAGATCCGAGAATTAAATACAAATTTTTAGGACAGTGTTGATCATTCCTAATTGAAATCGGCTAGCAAGAGTCGTTATAGTAACTGTTATTTAAAAGCTTTGATCTACCTCATTACCATTCAACTTTATCAAAAGTATTCACAGTGTATATACATATTTACAATTTAGAATTTCAGTTTTTTACAATATAGTAATCAGAAATAAAAATACATCTTTTAGGTACATTGAGTGAGCATGTGCGGCACTGCCAGGTATCAGTAAGATGAACTATTAGGAGGGTAGATTTGACAGGCAGATACTAGTTATCCGCTACAATAAGTTCATGAAGCTGAGGTTGACAATGTTGGAGTTCCATAGCAAACCCTAGGAGAACCGATGAATCCAACAAGCCCTTTGAGAATCAATGCCAAAATTATGTTTTAAACAAAAACAGTTATGACACACGTTAGGCCTGGATAGGCCACTGAGTGTTAAGCCATCAAAAGAAAAACTATATATACCAATTAATCAAAATAATAATACTCTTAATCTTCTGTTCAATTGTATTGTCCTATGTTACAATTGTAGCGAGATGCCTGAATGCGGATACTTTTTTCAATTTTATATAAGTGATGGCCATTGGTTTTTCTTCTCTGTGTACTTTCCAGGGCACAATGCACTTAGCTTTTGAGCTATTTATTTCTAATTCTAGTTGCTTTGCCGGTTCAGCTAAGGCGAGAAATTTTTCCATTACTACCGTCAATGACTAGACAACAATATCTAAGTTGTCAGCATTGGCCATAAGCTAGTATAGGTAGTTGCATATTGTTCCTCTTGCCCCCCTTTTTCTATGGACAAATTAAAAAGTAAACAAGCCAAGGCATCACATTGTCTTACACCTTTCCCATTGTTAAATTATGATGTCCTGTTGCCATTTGATTTATATTGAGTATTGTATGTTTTTAATAGTGAATTTGGTGAGCCTAACAAGTTTGGCAAATATTCTAAGGTTATCTAAGGCTTTGTATGTAAAGCTCCCAGAGTTGGATCTCGGTTGTTGACTAAGCAACATCTACTACTTGGTTAAACATTAAGAAATTCTACAGCTATGAAAAAGATTTTTGGCACAAGTGAAGTTAAAGTGTTAGTGACATAGATTATAAAATTTGGTGACTATTGTGGCAAAGGTTGCTTCATAAGTTCAGTTATAAAATTTAGCAAATAATAGGATACGCACTGGTTATCTAGATTGCCGGCTGGATCAGGCAGCTCCCCACCACATCACTCTATTAAGTTCAGATTGAGGTAACTATTATCAATCTATAGTTCCATCGAGCTATATAATAACACCACTAGACATTTCGTTCACTTCATCTTTTTACTACTTTTAGCCTCATTATTGCACTATTCACATTTACTTTGTCTTGATTTCCTTCATTTAATTAGCTTTAATTTTCTTACCGAAAGATACCTGTAGAAATTATCTTAAATGATTTAATGACTTTCTTAAGAAAACAAATAATCAAGTCAAAAAGGGAAATGAGGAGAAGAAAAATCTAAAAGAATCAATAGAAAGTAAAATGAAGAACAATCACAAAACTTATTAAAAAATGCATTTCACAACGAAATCTTGAAAAATAATTTTAAAAAATACTTAAATCGAGAAAAAATCCTAATACTATTTAATTTTAAAACTATTATAAATGAAACAAAGAACTCTCTGGAAGAAGCTGTAGTAAATAGACAGCCTTTCAGAGATAGACTTGATCACCAACTAATCAGAACAGGCCAGTTTTAATACAATTTTAGCCATATGGAAAAAAATTCAGGTTTTGAGAATAAATTGGAGATTGAAATAAAATTTAAAATTGTCATGGGATTATACCCCATAAGAGAGTAATCAGAAAAGAATTATGGGACTATGTAAAAATATCCTGTGAAAATGGTAAGACATCAAAATATAGAGGGAATAGATCATATATTGATAGTTTTATTTATACAGTAGAAGCTTTAAAATCTGAAAATTCAAATAGTAATAGAGAATCTGGAATGACAAATCTACAGATTTTATAACTGAAAAACAAATTAATAAAAAATGAAAAATGGATCCGCAAGGTACATTGGAAACCTTTTTTTTCTGCATCCACAATCGCATTCTGTCGGCCAGCATACCAAAGAATAAAAATATCGAAAATTCTGAACACAAAAGAGAGAAAAATAATTATGTTTAAAAAGGACATGAATTAGAAATATAAATTGGTTATTATATCATTATCCCCACATATATTATTACAGTAAGGCTCGAAATCGGTTTCGTACCAAATATAAGCTCCTGTCATGCTCAAATACCATGAATGGGGTACCGTTGGATTCAGAATTTCATGGGGGGTTAGCAAATCGTATTCTCCACTTTTGTTTTTCTTTCTAAAATAAATAAAGTTGATACATACATTTTGCTAGGCTTCAATACTGAAATGGTGGTAGGTCTGTAGATCGATGCGGGACAAATTGGACCTTGAAGATTTTGATACGTACAGCGAGACCCGGATAGTTCCTCCAGAACTATCGGATCCTGCGTTTTTAAGCCCAAAAACGTACTATTTTCGAGATAACGCAAGGCAAGGGGTTCGCATCCACACAATCTGACGTTAATTGTAGTACTGTCATTGGATACATGTCTCATTTCGTCGACTTGAGGTCTCTATGATCGAGACAGGAGGAGTTTATATTATTTATCGATGGTGTTTTTGATCAGCAAGCCATATCATCGTTAATTCTTTACCAAATCTCAAGATTGAGCCACCAATTTCGAAGGCTTCCTTCTCCTTCAGGCGGGCAAAATAGTCCAATCATCCCGTAAATTCAGGCAAACAAGTTATGAAAGAAAAGAAAGTTTATTTGCGAATAACTAAAAAATTACACACTTTTCCCTTGGTTATTCCCATGATTATATAAAACATTACTAAATTGTTTAAAAAAGGAAAGAAAAAAAAAATCAGCAAAATCGATTAGAAATTTTTCCAATATTTTTTGTTTTTCATTTTATTATTTATTTTTTCGATTAATATTCATTAGGAGAGTTCTATTATAGCCCATTTTATTTTAAAAATAACTATATATTTGGCATATAGTTAAATTATCAGTACGACGATGAAATAATCTGTACTGACCGAAGGAGGAAAATGGGCTCAAATATTTTTTTTAAGGGAAAACAGAGTTGAGATTTGTATTTCGCACCTCTATAAAGCCTCAAATACGAATTTTCATAGAAATCAAAAAAAATTTTTTGCACCAAATCGGAACCAAGGCTCCACCCTTCGATCTTCTGTCGAAAATCACAAAAAGTGGGATAATATAAAAATGACTCCACGTATCCACACTAAAATTTACATTAAGTTAGGACTACATAAGCTACACGAAATGACACAAAACCAGACCCCTGTAAATATAATAGAACAAGAGATATAAAACAAAAACCTTTGAGGAGTTTTTCTTTATTTATTGTTTTTAAACGCGTCAAATCTAAAAGTTAAAGTTAAAAGTTATCCAACGATTATAGATACATTGAATTATGAGAAAATCCTGAGGAGTTATGAATCATTGAAATCGGACAATTTTTTGCAAAGATACAGCTTATTGAAATTTGTAAATATGTTGGTTCCAAACAAAAATGAAGATTTAAATTAATTTTGTTTCCTTTGTCGATTATATTTATCGATAAAGTAACAATTGATTCCTTTACCTTTTGATACGTTGCATTATTTTATTTTATTATTAATTTGGCATTTGATAACAATATGCTGTGCGAATTTTTTGTCTACTAGACTATTATTATTGGTAAATATATCATTATATAGGTATCAAGCGTACGGAGCCTAATGAACCCAAACTAATAAAGTTCCTGGCCTTGAAGATGATAAATGAGAAATATCCCTCAACTTCAAGGAGCCAGATATACACTGATGGATCAGCTGCTGGTGCCATAGCTAACGGAGGAGCAGGAATACACATAGAATTCCCGGCTCGCACCATCCTTGGCAAAGCCATTCTAACAGGTTCCATATGTTCAAATTTCAAGGCTGAGCAAGAGGCTACAGTAGAGGGCAGCAGAATAATGAGGTGATTCAAAAGGAACCCAAACTCCAATATTGTATTTAATCAGATATGGCTTCAGTACTTCAGTCAGTCAAGTCCAAATGGAAATCTTGGCTCCAGACCTTAGCAGGAGAAATAGAAAAACTGCAACTACAGTACAAAAGAGGAGAACTCCAATGGATACCAGGGCACTGCGGACTAAATGGAAATGAAATAGCCGACCAAGTGGCAAAGGAAGTAGCTGCATCCTCTCAAACTCTTCAGGTCATTTCTATAAAGAAGGCGATCATACGACAAAGGTGGAATGATGCCAATCCACATTAAAATCCTGAACACGATTATTAAAGGTTGAGCAGGAAAGACAAAGTTTTACTCTTTAGACTTAGAACAGGACACAACAGGATGAGGGCTCACCTCTATAAAAAATTTGAAATTGGAAAAAACCCTCTCGGTAGCTGTAGAACAGGCTACCAGAATACAGAGCATATCCTTTAGACATGTCTTGAGGTGGAGGACATGAGAAAGCTAATTTGGCCAAACACCACTGACTTGGCGATAAAGCTCTACAGTGGTCCAGAGGATCTCAGAAACACCGTCGAGTTTAGACACTCAATCCTCGACCTCACCATTTGAGGGAAGTTCGAAGAAGATATATCATTAAAAAAAAATTTTAAAATTGTTTAAGTTTAAAGAAACAAAAATAATAACCAACTTAGAATACCGTTATTAAATTCAAATAAACTAATTAAATATTTAACAATGTGAAGAAATTTCATTTATAATACAAAAATAAAAATTCTTTGTTATTTGGCAATGATTACTTCCAATTAAACAATTGAATTTATTTGTTGCATTTCCAAATTACATGTTTACATGTTAACGTTTTGAGATATTTACTCCCATCTTTAGATCTACAATCCCAATGTTTTTTTGTTGATACATCATTGCCAAATAACAAAGAATAACATAAAACTTCCCCAAAAAAAATAAATAAATACTCACCAAGTAATGTCTCAGTATCATCAGTAGGAACAATGCTAACTCTCTGATTATTTGCTGTCATACCTGGTAATATTACAGTCATTTTCCGTGGACCTTTGAACCCTAGTACATTAGTATCCTAAAAAAAAAAATAAGCCTTTATTAATATATATCACCACAATAATGACAAATAATCATAGCACATTTACCTTAAATTTTACATTTTAAATTACATTAAAGGTGCTTATAAACGTGTTTCAACATGAGTTTTGCCTTTCAGCTAACTGGAAGGCCCATGGGGGTACAAGTTTTGGAATGGGAAAACAGTGCTAAGCATGTGGCTGCCAATTTTCTGATAGGTAAAACTCGTTTTGGAACAGACCTGATATAAAGTCTACCCAAAAAAAACTAGTCGCTTCAATTTGACAACAAATACCAGATAATTTGGGAAGTAAGTATACAACTTGTTTGCCTTACCTGTTTTAGAACTTCATTTCTTAACAATCATTTTCTAATTACCATGTTAGATTTTTCTCTATTTCTTTCCTGTTTGTTGGTCATGATCCTCTTACATTATGTTTCTCATTTAAATTTTTTAACAAATGAAAACTAGTGTGTCACCCTCATGAACTTTTTTATTTTCTGTCTTTAAAAAAATGGGATCAGCTCAATCCAATTATTATTTCTATACTGTACCTACTGCATTAGCAAAAAAATTCCTAACTAGCTAAGAAAAGACCACAAGGAAAGTCTACACATAACATTAAGAAGTGATTAGGATTGTTTTTAAGTAGTGTGCCTTTTTTTTAGTCAGACTGAATGGCTAATTGATGGATGTAGCATAGAGACAACACTGGTTATGTGGAATATACATGTGATCTAATTTAAAATATGAGTTTGGTAATTATAAAATATTGAATAAACTTTGAAATTGAAAATTGATTTATTATTATAAGAATCCCACAATGCATTATTCAAAGACAATGGTAGTTAAGAACCTGTGTACAGTAAATCAAATTGATGACAAAATACAAACTGATCCAATAATTAGTCAATTTAAAATCAGATAATAATTCCAAACCTTTTTGGGTTTTGGTGAATACCAATAATGATTACACACACCCAGGCAAAGAAAGTTCATCATTTACACCATCAGGAAGGTCTGACAAGCAAATTACCAACATTGGAGAAGTATGAGGTTAGAAAACTGAAGCAGAAATAATAAGTATGTCTTCATACATGTATATGTCTCTCTCTCTCTCTCTCTCTCTCTCTCTATATATATATATATATATATATATATATATATATATATATATACATATATATATTTGAGCTATGGATGATATAGCTGTCCTCCGAATTAATCAAAAGGATATTGAGAGACTCGTTCGGACTCTGTTAAAAAAAAGTGACAGAAGCAGAGCGAATCGGACTACAAGTCAATGTAGATAAAACAAAATATTTGATAATTAGCCGAAACATCCACCCTGATAACATGATATGCGTGGACTCTAGGTCATCCATGAAAGTAGACAGATCCAAATACCACGGCTCCACAATAACCTCAATAAATGATCAACTAACAGAGATAGACTAGCAAATAACAAGTACGAACAGATCTTTCTTCTCCCTTTCAAGGATACTGAAACCCAGAAAAATCTCCAGAAATCTAAAAATAAGGGTGTACAACGTTGTGATTAAGCCAGTTCTGCTGTACGGTTGTGAAACCTGGGCTCTAACCAACACACTAGAAGCCAGAAATTGAGATTCGAAAGAAAAGTTCTTCATAAGATAACAGGACATATATGGGACCAGAACCTTGACACATGGAGGAGAAGGAACAATAAAGAACTGCTGAAAGAAAAGGGTCAGTCAATATCTCATGACATGAAGGCAAGGAGGTTAAGATGGGCGGGGCATACAGCTCATAGCAGTCCATCAGGACGCCTCTAAACAACAATGAATGCCAGAGTAGTAGGCAAGAGACCACAGGGGAGGCCAAAAACCAGATGAATAGAACGACACGAAAGACACGGCTGAGCTTCATTCCGCAAACTGGAAAGCAATACCCCAAGATAGGCAGAGGTTGAGAAGGCTGATTCTGGTGGCCAAAGATCTACATCGTCTGTAGAACTGGGGAAAAAATAAATAGATAAATAAAATATAAATATATATATATATATATATATATATATATATATATATATATATATTGTAATGTACACCTTTACACTTGGAAGTGAGTAAAGAGGGTATAATAAATTAATGTTCAACAGTTAAAAGGCAAGCTAATCTAGTTCTACTAGTTCGGGGAAAAGAAAATAACTGCTTTGTAGTTTTCCCAAAAAGGAAAATCCCAAAGAGGAGATAGAACGAAGGATTTGTTTTGGCAAGCAGTTGTTATGTGACTGCAGTGAACAGAAGATAGGAGAAGTGATTCTGACTCCAGTGGGTAAAACCCAGTAATAGTATTACCATCTTGAAAGTTGTTGTTTGGTAGAGAGACTAGTTGTTTGGAATCACAAGAAAGAGGATCTCCCAGGGAGCTTGAGTTGAATAGAAGAAAGTGTCACCATTTGGGAAGATATGTTTGGCAGAGCACAGAAAAATGTTAGAAGACAAATGAATTTAGTACAACAAAGGAAGAAACAGTATTTATAGAAAAAAGATTAGCTTGCCAATGCATATCTTATATATTATTTATCAAATATATATTCGGCTTCATTTCTCATTTTTCGGCTCTCAGAAGAGATGGATTTTGACAAATAAAGTGTCAATAGAAAGAGAATATCACATAGAATTGTAATTTTTATTCATAATTTTATACCTGGACTTAAATAAAAGTGAATGTAAAAGTGGGAGGTTTCAAACCGTATGATGGTGCCGTCTCAACGAATCGAGATGTTACAAAAGGAGTCATAATTGAACAATAACTCCGAAAGGACACAATTTTTGGCCCATTATGCATATGAGTATTTGAAAGCTTACTAAATTCCCTACAAAACGTAAAAAAAAATCATCGAAATCGATAACAGTTGTGTCTGATATAAATTTTTTTTTTCTTTCTTTTTACACTTATATTCAATTTATATTACTCATGAGAGCTCTATTTCATCAAATTTATATTTGGCATATTTTTATAGTATGGATAAAATGTTGAAATGGGACAATTCGTACCTACCCAAGGAGCAAAGTGGATTCAAATATGTTTTTAAGGAGAAATCAAGTTGAGATATGTATTTCACATCTCAGAAAACCACCAAATACGGTTTTCATAGCAAACAAAAAATGTATTTTTTTTCCCACAAAAACTGAGAGAAGGGACTATGTGGTGGAAAGATGTAGGGTTCTAAACATTTAGTATTAAATATACTTTAATGATTTTATGCTTTATTTCAGTTTTGAATTACTCAAAAACTTTAAACTTATTTAAGTAATAATTAATAATAACTATATTTTAGTAAAATTTTATTTTTTCATTGAATCTTTAAAATTTTTCAAGGATATATAATTAATAATAAAATTAATAATATCTAGGAAAACCCTTTTTATTACCCTTATATACATATTTCATGCTTGGATTATTTAATTGAATTAAAGCATGGAATAATTATATAAGGCTAAAATAAAGCTTTTTATTTGATATTATAAATTTTATGAATAGAATTTTTTATTTAACAGAAAATTATATAAAATATTCCTATGTAGATCAATATTGGTAAATACTTTTAATAATGCATTATTCTTCTTCTGGGGAGAAAAGTAATATGGTATGTAGCACATATCTTATTTCTAATTATTTAGATATAGTAAACTGTTGTTTAATAAGTTTCAGCTTTCTGATTTGGTTACTACATGATTTTGTTACTTGGTACTAACATTTGGTTTTGTTAAATTAATTATTAAATTTGTTTTTATTGTTATAAACATCCAATAAACATTTTTGGAATATTTGTTAATATAACTTCATTTTAAATAAGATATTATTATATATATATATAAAGCTATTAGATGTTTATCATTTTGAAAATTTACTTGATTATTTTTAATGACAAAAGAAACATCTCTCTCTCTCTCTCTCTCTCTCTTTTTTTTCTGTACATACAGCCTGCTAGCTCAAACCGTTTTCCTTCCAGAGAACTAAATCCAAAGTATTTAGCCTTCATCAGATATTTAAAGGAAATATTTAGAAGCTTTTGTAAACTTAAGAAAAATATAAGATTATAATTATAAATTTAATGAAACTAGCTTAAACTATGGATGGATATAGATCATAATATTTATAAACTGATAACTTACTAAATAGAAGTATTAAAGCTTTGCTTAGAAACATTAACTTATGCTAAAAGGAACTTATGCTGAGACCTTAATGTATTGAAATCTGATACAAATATAAGGTTTGTGCGAAGTATTCGCACGGGTCAGCTAGTTTTACTTTATTTTAAAATCAAACAGTGTTTAGTATAGTTAATGTTAGTTTGTCTGAGTGTTTTGATCTGATTGTCAGGAACCCAAACCTGAGATAAATAAATATATTAAAACTCTTATAATTTTGTTTATTATTTAATAACCTCTTGTTTATTCACTTTATACTTTATACTTCCTAAAGTATTCCAACGGTATAAAGTGATCTTCCATGAGGTCATATTATTATTTGTAAAATATAAGAGAGATGTTACAATAAATATATATATATATATATATATATATATATATATTCTATCATGTTCAGGAGGAGATGAGCTTCGTACGAATAAAAAGAAGTAGTGATGCAATATTTGCTTTTTTAGAGGAGTGAAAAGAGAAGTCTTGTTTGTTTTTTTGTGAAAAATGTTCAGATAAACTTGGTCTGTTAGAAATCTTTTATATATACAAGGGTGGTCTGAAAAGTTTCCGACCTAACAAAAATACAAGACATTTTTTCTGATTTTTTTATTTTTCAACATAGTCTCCTTGTAACTCTACACACTTCTCCCAGTGATACTCCCATCTCTGTAACCCGTCCAAAAAGTACTCGGCGTTTTTCTCTGCAAAATAATTGTTCACAAAGGTGATTGCCTCTTCATTTGACGAAAATCTCTGTCCTCCGAGCGCAATTTTTAGATAAGGGAACAAAAAGAAGTCGCTTGGGGCTAG